AACTAGTTTATTTTTAGTAAATGCTTACTTTGAACTAGTTGAATTAATATAACTAGTTTATTTTTAGTAAATGTTTAGTTGAACTAGTTGAATTAATATATAGAACTAGTTTATTTTTAGTAAATGCTTAGTTGAACTAATTGAATTAATATAACTAGTTTATTTTTAGTAAATGCTTAGTTGACTTAATAGAAGTAGTTGAATTAATTGAATTACTAAGTGTTTAATGTTTTGCCTAATATGAACATAGGAAATGTCGTCTGACGACGGAAAAAATTTCATTATGTGCGAATACTGTGAAGACCAGCGCGGCCAATGCGACAGAAATTTCCTTGTTGATGGTAGGCGATTCAGCATCAAGCTAGATGAGACTTTCGAATTCGATACAGTAAGTCACAACGACAAGTCTGTTTTCGTAATTAAGCATTACTTATATATATGCTTCATTTGCCTGACTTATAATTTTTAATTTTCACTATTCTACTAGCGCATCCCCTGCCATGCAAGAATTTTTGTCTTGGATAAGATAGGTTTTAAAGATATGGAAACTATGGAGGTAAAGAGAGCTTACCTGAAAACTGAGCATAATGGTTATACTTTTAACCTCAAAGTATACAATGCACACACGTACACCTATTTTGAATGCAAAACTTGGCAAGCACTATGCAAGGCTTATGCATTTGAGCCTGGTATGGTTATCACCTTTGATATTCGTCCGGAAGATGATATTGAAGGTAATAGAGACATATGGGTCGATGTGCAGACGCCTCCAGTTCTACCATTATGTGAGTTCTTCTCAACTATCTTTTTGTCTTTGATATTGCTTATACAAAAATAACTGACAACTAATTTCTATTGACAGCTTATCTCCATTCAACCAAACATGTCCGGCGCTTGGTAGACAGGACATACTACTGTCCCGGCGCTGAACTAAACTGCGAGGAGATAAGTCATTATGTTTCATGGCTTGAGGATCTTCATACTGTCAAGACAAATTTTCTTCCTGCACTTAAAAATGTTAGTACTCAAAACGTGCGACCAATAGTGATGGTATTGAACTACGGTCACATCTATTTAGGAATGATGGTAAGATATTTACTATTTGTCCTCAGTGCATATTTTGCATACATATTTTTTTTGCTAAACTTTCATTGCTAAGTATATTAATTAAGTACTATGCGATGTTCTTCAACAGGGACTCCCGATGACAGTTGTGCCTCAGGGGATCGAGACTAAAGGTCAGATGTCAATTGTTAGCTTACGGCCAAGATATCCTGCATTGCACATGAATGCATTCAAGATTTCTAGAAGCGATGAATGCTTAATAGTGAAAGATTGGAGGAAAATTGTTAATGATCGCAGAGAAGTACTATGGGGCAGCAATGAGAAGCGCAGCCCACGATTAGGAGACAGGTTCATCGGCATGCTCCAGTATGATCAATCAGGAGAGCTATACATGTTCTATGCTATTTTACCAGAGAGAGAGAGTAGCTAGCAGGAGTGATTTAGCTAGTTCTTCATGCTGCTCTTAATTAGTACTTGTCCTTTCATGTCTGTGTTCTTCGTTCTGAACTTAAGTGATTTGCTTTTGTGGTGTTATATATGAACGCTTATATCATGACAATCATGTTGAACTCGATGATTGGTTCTACTAGAAATTCTATTTATATATATATATATATATATATATATATATATATATATATATGCATAACATGTACAATGTGTAGTATCGTAAAATACCAGCAAACGAAAAAAAATTAAAATGGAAACACAAAATTAAATGAAAAAGAAATCATAAAACTAAAAACCCCCCAAACCTTATAGTACCGGTTGGTCTTACCAACCGGTACTAAAGGGCTCCAGGCCCCCGGAGCTGGCTCGTGCCACGTGGTTGCCCTTTAGCACCGGTTCATGCTGAACCGGTACTAAAGGGGGGGCCTTTAGTGACCACAATTTAGTGCCGGTTATGTAACCGGCACTAAAGGGCCTTACGAACTGGTGCTATTGCCCGGTTCTGCACTAGTGAGCGGCCACCCCGGCCACTGCCCAACCCGTGCCCCCAAGCGAGCTCCCAGCGTTGGAGCCGCCGGGCACGCACCCGCGCATCCCGCCGCCCCCAAGAACCAACCCCCAAGCATCACGCCAACCGCCGGAAGGTCGGAAATTAAAGGCCCCACCTTGGGTCCCTTGGTTGCCGACGAACTAGCCCACAGCGGGCCACGAGTGGCACCGCCAGCCATTAAGGAAGCCAGATTTAGCGCCCAACCCGCTGGATTGATGCAGACGACGAGGAAAGAGGTGCCAGAGACGACAAGGGAAGGGATCCGCCGCCGCCCACAGTCCTTCGCACCGCCACCAGGGGGCCGCCGCCCCGACAGCTCCTGCCGCCGCGCCGCCGCGCCGCCTGCGCCCGGTGCTCAGCGCCATGCCACCCCTGACGGCCCCGTCCCACGCTGCATGCCACCGAAGAGGGGGAAGAAGGGTGGCCAGCCGCTGCCGATGTTGGAGGGGCTTCGCCCACCAACGCACCACCGGCGGCAACGAGGGGAGGGAGGGAGAGGTGGGGGAGTTCGGCGAGGGGCTAGGGTTTCCTCCCCGGGCGCCCGCGGGAGCGCCACGTGAGAGGAGAGGGGAGCACCGTTCCCTCTAGGGCGACTTTGTCTCTTCTTCTTTTCCCTTGTTATACGGTTTTTCGGCCAAGTTTCCCTTATAAACAGGGTCAACTTGTTTAGGTTTTTGATCCGGTTTTCCTTATAAACATGATCAATCACTTGGCATTTTGTCCACTTCGAAATATATTCAAGTGGGGAGCCTTTCCTCCCGGTGACTATTTCAAAAAAAAAAAGGTTGGCGCAATGCAAAATGAATCTGTTGCTTCTAATCTTCTCCTCTTTGAATGGACAATGGCATGTCCTGCTGCTTCAGTTGTAAAGTCTGAGCCTGGGCTGTCCAGTCGTCAGTTCGTCCATGGATGCTTCTATTGGTATTTGCATTTGCGGAATGAGTTACTTGTGCTTGACGTGTGCGTAATGGGGTTCTCTGTTATCAACCTCCCATCTGAACAACTAGTGGCTAAGAGTTTTGTCGTTGTCGAGGCAGCAAAAGGAATGCTGGGGATACTCGCCATAGGTAACGGCTATGATAAGGACAACAAAGATCAACGGTAGTGGCACGTGTATTCTATTCCGACAAATAACCAATGGCACTTGGAGAAGGTCATCCCGTTGCCGGTAAAGCATGTACTTCTGGCTAGTGTAGCTGGGGATACTTGCTCACATACGTGATGTACTCCATATCTTCAAAAGAGAAGTACTTCTCGCTAGATCTGAAGACTTTCCAGGTCGAGTTGTTCACAGCATTTTGCAAACACTTACCTGGACGACTGTACGCTGGTTTCCCACCATCACTGTGTGCGCCAACTATATGAAGCGGCGAGCGCGTTATCTGCTATGTGCTTACTTCTATTTTACTTGGTCTCGGTGTTATGAAACAAAGAAATAAGATTCAGGCATTTGCTATATGAGTTGGTCGAGTTTTACTTACGATTCCTACTGTTAGGAAGGAGGAAAAAGGACATGTAGAATTTTACTTCAGCCTGGTGCACCGGGACAGATCCCCACTGTTAGGAAGGAGGAAAAAGGACATGTAGAATTTTACTTCAGCCTGGTGCACCGGGACAGATCCCCACTGTCAGGAAGGAGGAAAAAGGACATGTAGAATTTTACTTCAGGCCTGGTGCACCGAAACTCTTCGGACTCCCGGAGTTCTTCGGACTCAGCTCAGAATCTGTTCCAGACTTCCGGGCTCAGCTCAGGTCTGCACCAGAATAGTTTAGGTGGCATAAAAACAGACCCAACAGCTCCCAACGCGGAAAATAATGTATGGAACGTTTATGCTCTGAATTTGTATAAGTGCCGGAACATACTGGTAGACAGATTTTTGCATATAAACAGAATGCCCAAATGAAGTTTGCTTAGCTCCAGCGGCTTTCTTGAGCAGCTATTAGCCAACACATTGATGCATACTTATTTTTTCTACAATACGTACAATTTGTTTTTAGAGGTCACTATGCCCATTTATGTATCCTCTTAAAGGTTAATATAGCAGAGAGTAACAAGAGAGCAGGAACTCCAAAAACAGAGTACTCTGCTTGATTTTACGAAAGTACAAGACACACCACATATATATATTCCTGTGTTCCACTGCACTTCAGAAATATACACAGAAACATAAACCACTGGGCCTTATAGCCAAGGCCGGCCTATAAAACAAACATGTAGAATTTAGAACAAGTTATCTGGTTTCGCAGAGTAAGAGCAATCCTCCATGCCAACATAATTTTCAAGCGACCTTGGAATATGAGGGATTTCCACATCCATGACATTCTCCAGCATGTGAACAACTTGTCCCATCATCGGCCTATCATCCTCGGCATCTTGAATGCACCAGCACGCGATTTTGCAAGCTCTGCTCAGCTGCTCTACATCTGCCTGGCCTTCCAACCTACTGTCCAGCAGACACATAACATCTCCTTCACTCACCTTGATTGCCGCAAAGATAGGAAAGTATGTGAACTTCCCTTCCTTAAATTTCTCCGCATTCCTTCGACCAGATATGATTTCAAGAAGCATCATACCATAGCTGTAAACATCAGTCTTACATGTGATCGGCAGTCCTGATATCCACTCCGGTGCAAGGTATCCGGATGTCCCTCGCATTGTTGTCAAAGCCCTGCTGAAATCTCGACCAAGAAGCTTCGCCATGCCGAAGTCCGCAATCTTGGGGCAGAACTCTGCATTGAGAAGTACATTGTCTGGCTTCACATCACAGTGTATAATGCATTCTTTGCATTCCTAGTTCCAAGTGCTATATGGTACCGAAGATCCCAGGTCAATATGGCCGAACTCTTCGAAAACAGATGAGAACTCAAAGAACCGTTCTCCATGTACTCATATACCAGCAACCGTTTCTGCCCTTCGGCACAAAAACCAAACAATCGGACAAGATTAATGTGGTGAATTATGCCAATTGTCTGTACTTCTGCTCGGAATTGCTTTTCCCCTTGCCCAATGCATTTTAGCTTTTTGACCGCCACTAGAGACAAACTTGCCAATGCCCCCTTGTAAACACAACCGAAACCTCCTTCTCCAAGTTTTTCGGAGAAATTATTCGTTGCCTTCTTCATTTGCATGCTGGAAAAGATCTCGAGGCTGCTATTGGAACTCAATGGTAGTTCCAGGGATAGCTTCTTTCTCCTTCTCCAGGAAATAACAAGGCAAACAAGCATAATGGTAAACACACCTACCACTGTAATCAGAACAACGATTTTAATTTTTGAATTTGACTTTTCTTGCTTGGAATCTAATACTTGTTGCTTGCATTCTGAGTTTTCCTGCTTGGAACCTTGAGCAGACCACAACACAGTCCCACAGCCCCATAGTTTAGCAGCAGTAATGGTACCATCATAATGCAACCGTAAATATAAATGTGAATTGTTGGACAAATATCCATGAATATCCATCCACCTGGTACCTGGGGAAGGTGCCGGAATAATTGGTATAAATATAACTGAGGTAATAAGAAGTGTTGTAATAAGTGAAAACAGTAAATTCTCTGTCTATATTCATCCGCAGTTTAGAATAACTGACGCAAGAAACAGCATCAGTAGGCCCCCTGGTACTGATCATATTATTAACATATCCCAGCCGTCCTCCAGGTAGCAGTGTGTCAGTTGGGTGATCGAAGCTATGCCAGAACAATAATGAACTATTCACTTTGTCTCTTATTACCAGATCTCCGTTGTCAAGAAGTACTGCAACTGCAGAAGTAGATTCATTTGGTCTCTCCACAATACCATCTGATGACCAGATAATAGCATCATGGCCATAGGTCAGCAAGGTGAGGTACAAGTTGCCATTTGAGAGGGTAAGAATCGAGTTCCAATGGTCTGAGGTGAGGTACCCTTGCAATTGAGGAGGTGACCAAACTAGAAGAGCACTACAAGTTGATGAGTTGACATACCAGATGCCAAATGTAAAGTCTGAACATGGAGGAGATAGGCAGCTGAAACTCAACTCAAAGGCACCATTCTTCGAGAATAGGGTACGGTTACCATACAGAGATTGGCCTGGAAGGAGAGTATCCGCCGCACGTGCGAATCTACAGCTTGAAGACATGACCAAGAAGAGAATTGCTGCTACAAAGGATGATCTCGAAGTCATGAGCTTGCATGCCTTCTTCATTTGGTCTAGTATGAGCTAGGTCGATCTCTTACTAATAAAAAATGTGGATATTCTGACCGTCCCAATGTACACAACTAGTGACTTATAGGGAACGGAGCCTTTACTCAAGATGAAGACAGCTACCATCAAGCTGAGTTATCTCCATCAAGACGTGTGGAAATTTTCTTGCTCCATCAAGCTGGCATTTTTTGAGCCAAGCATCTGCTGGAGAAAATCAACAAGTGACAGCAACCATTGACTGAAAAGAACCACTGTCATGTCTACAAGACGAGATGGGCCGGCCCACGCGCGCGGCAGGTCACATGCACTTTTTCTGTTTGTTTTTCCTTTTTTTCTTTTTTTTCTTCCTTTTGTGCTTTATTTCTGTACTTTTGTTTATACTTTAAAGTATTCTATATATATATATATAGGCAAAATTGTGTCCACCATAGCTTGCTACAGCAATAGCTATCGTAGCCACAAGTGTGTGCCCCGTGATTCGTGCTGACCATATGAGAGAGAAATTAAAGAGGGGTTTGTGGAGTGTTTTGCAGTCCGTTTTACCAGAAAAAGGCTGTGTCGTGGGGCATCATGCAGTGGTCCATCTGCTTGTGATTCAGGACAGCGACAGGGACAAAGGTTCATGTGCTCAACGCATGCAGCTTGGTGGAACCTCTAGCGAAAACGAAAAAGCTTGAGGAACGGACACAAACTCACGTGCCCATGTGAGACGTGACAAGTACTTGTCCGTGGAACTTCTGGGATGGGTGTTTTGATGCTTAGTTTTGTAGGGAACTTGTTATTTAAAAGTGAATTTGTCCCGATTTTCAACATAAACTCTGTTTGGATAATGTAACTAATCCAAGATTAGTAAAACTGGTTTAGCATATAAGCACAAAAGAAAATCAACGTCTATTTTTATTTTAATGCATAGTAGCAGGATTTATAGGAAAACTGTTTTATTCTTTATTTGAGTGAGCAAATGCTAAATCATGTTTAGGCAATTCTTTCTTTATTTGGGTTTATCTCCAGTCGAACTAATCACTACTCCCTCCGTCCGGAAATACTTGTCATCAAAATGAATAAAAGGGGATGTATCTAGATGTATTTTAGTCCTAGATACATCATTTTTTGTCTATTTTGATGACAAGTATTTTCGGACGGAGGGAGTACTCATCTTCCCATCAACCCATCCGTACATGTAGGTATTACTCCCTCTGTTCCGAAATAGTTGTGGTTGGGGAAAACTAGTGTACCGATCGTCACGTTGCGATTTTTCTTCACTTTCCCATTTTGCCCTCCCGCTCGCTCTCTCCCCGACCGCTTGCAGCTCTCACTCTCTCCCTGACCACTCGCTCTCTCTCCCCGACAGCTCTCGCTGTCTCCGACCCCGACCGCTCGCCCTCTCGTCGGCCAGTCGCTCGCCGGCCAGTCGCCACCCTCTCCCTCTCGTCGGTGTCTTCCTCACCGCAGTCTTGCACCTCACCGCCCATAACCCTAGCAGCCCGCCTCCCTCTCGTCGGTGAAAGGTGACATTTTTACCAGTTGGGGTGCTCGATTCGTGGCGGCGGTGCTCGATCCGTGGGCGGCGGTACTCGATCCGTGCCGGAGCAGCGGGAGGAGGAGGCCAAGGTGGAGATCGTGGTGCGGGAGGGGGAGCTCGGCGAGACGGCGACTGGATCTGAAGCGCGGCTGCTCCACCTTCCTCAGGGTGGCGGGGATCTCCGGCTCGGGCCCGACCGCTGGCGTCATCCGCCGCTTCCTCAGGGTTGGCGGCGGCGGGCTGCGTTCCGGCGGGAGGGCGGCACGTTCAAGGTGCTGCAGGTGGCGGACATGCACTACGTGGACAGGCGGAGCACCGCGTGCGAGGACGTGCTGCCCAAGCAGGTCGCCGGCTGCTCCGACCTCAACATCACCGCCTTCCTCTACCGCGTCATCCACGCCGAGGACCCCGACCTCGTCATCTTCACAGGTCCGGCCCCCACCCACCCCCTTCCTCTTCCCTGCTCTGTTATTCTGTTAATACTTCGATTGACTAGTGATTCGTTGGTGCCGCCACTTCTTCCGATTTCGAGTTAAGAATTCAGAAGTGCCATGCAATGGTGGAGTAATCCCCAAAGAATTAAGAAATCAGAAGCATGAGCTGCACTGAAATTCTGTCTAGGTAGTTGCTCATCCGCTGGGGTTTCAGTTAATCGATTGGGCTGTCCATCCAGGACGAAGATGAAATGGTCTGATTGATCACGACTGCCTCCACATGGAGGTAAAACACAAACAGGAAAGATGCAATAGTAGCCGCCTTTGTGATTATCTTCAGGTTACTGTCCTGTTTTCGTCGTCTTGTTTCACGGGCGATCTTGGTGATGTTTCCAAGGCTGCAAATCTTGGTGATGTTTCAGTTATCATCTGGATTTTTTGGTTTTGCCTGTATGCCCTGTTATTTTTGTTTGCTGGCTCTGTGGTTCAGTGTTTCTGCACCTTTTTCCTCATGTCTGTACAGTGATTTGATGAACACATATGGGCTTTTGGCTCTGCTCGAAGTGATTCTGAATTTTGTTTGGGTAAGCTAGCTAGCTGAAGGTGAAGAAGCGGCATATTTTGAATTCTGTTCTCTGTACTCCACTTTCTCTTCTTGTCTCTTCTTCTCTTTCTCTTCTCTTCTCTTCTCTTTCATTTAAATGGAGTATATGAAGTAAAAATGATCAAGCCTCACAAAATGGAGAACAAAATACACATACATTATTTAACTGTGATTTAGAGTTATGGTTATCTGTATACTGCTGCTGCTGTAGTTTAAAAGGCTCAAGATCTTCAGTTAATTAGGAGTACTTTAGTGTAGGAGTATTCCAGATTTAGTGTAGGAGTAAAAATTAACTAAATCCTTGTTGTAGCACTACTGTTGCTTGTTAACACTACTCTTGCTTGTTAACTGAATTACTCTTGGCAGTTCACTACTCGAGGCACTGGGCTGCGGCTTCATCGAGGCGGACGACAACCACTCCCGTGCAAACAAAGGTACAGGCTGGTCCTGGTGGGCGACGAGGACGCCCTGGCCTCTGTAGTTACACGAGACAACAGTTCTTTGTGCAAATGTTGACTGAATTTGCCTCTGACTTGTCTCTGCACTTGACTGAATTCGCCTCTTTGTGCAATGTTGCTGCTGCAGGTGAGCATTCAGGAAAAGAACTCTTTGTGCAATGAGCATCCTTTTCTGCTGGAATATCAACTTTTTTGGATGCTCAACCATCAATAAACATATTGGCTGAACTTCAGGAAAAGGATGCACCGAATCTTAGTAAGCGGATACTCATTGCCGAATTCTTTTGGATGCACATATAGTTTGTCTGGCAACTTAAATAATGACAGTAAATAAACTCTCAATAGCACTGTCCAGTAATTGAAAATAAATTACACCTTTTCAGTTAATTTAAATTAACTGAAACCTTTTGTACTCCCATGATCAGTGTTACTGTACAAATTCACACCGAATTTGTAAGTGCAAGTAGTGCTTGTTTTCAGGAGTAGGATGCTTATCAATAGTG